CCTAGAAGTAACAACCACTTTGTAACAAAAGATGATATTTATGAACAGATTACAGCCTTAAAATACCATTTTCAAGGAAAATAAATTGATGCTATCTTAGAAAATAACTGGTTCCAGGTGAGAGGCCAGGTCTTATAAAAACTGAGCCTGGAATACGGTATTATAAAACAAAGCAAGAAACTGAAAGACACAAAGATCTTGTCCAAAAGATCAGAAACTTAATGGATTTTTTACAGCCCCAAATCTGCATTATTTGATTATCACAATATTTAATTATTTCAGTTGAGAAAACTCATAGAATGTGTTTACATCCATGATTTGATAAAGACTCATAAATTTAATTTTTCATTTGTGAAAGACTCTAGTAAATAATTCTTCAGTTTGGAAACTGGTCAAGACAGACAAATTATCAATCATTTATTCCATCTTCTCTATGTCAACTCTATCTCTGATAGCCCAACCTGTAGAGGAGGGAAGCTTCTCTTTATTGGCACATTCCAGGGATAAATTAAAGGAGAATAAAAGAGTTGGAGTATCACTATTTTGATCATCATAATGAATCAATGTCTTGATAACAATGGTCAACTATAGCTAATGTTAAAAATTAGCTATTATATACTCCTGATGAATAATGCATCGTTACTTTTGGCTAATCTTAGCGGAAAAATGGATTTTTTTTTTTCTCTGATGAAACCTCTAGGTGTAACCACCAGTCTATGGCAAATACAGAGGACAGAGGATGAGGTTAAATAGCAGCATGAGGTCCAGTGGGAGGCAATTAGAAAAATCCATACTGTGACCAAGGATTTCGATAAGATAAGGAAAAAAAAATAAAAATCATCACAATGTCCCCCACTCATTGGGTGGGGAAAAAAATCTGTTCTCAGTGGTGTGGACCAGACCCATCTGGACACCTTGCGAGAAGTGTTGAAACTGAAAGGAGAGCTTCTAGGAAGCTTTGCATGAGGGCATTGGTGATACAATATAGAATTCTCACTTTCCACATGGCTTGGTGCTCAGCAAATGCTTCTCACGTGCAACCACCACCACTTTTCCATCAATGGGGGCTTCTGTGATGTTGGACAAATTTCTGTAGAAATCAGAAAAGGCCAAAGATTCCAGATGAAGACCAAAAAACCAAAACCCATTGCTGCCAAGTTATGCTAATTCATGGGCATCCACCACTGAATTTCTAAGGCTGTAAATCTTTACTGGCCCAGACTGAAGATCAGCTTGTGCATTCAAACTGCCAAACTTTCCTTTATCAATGTAATATGTTACACACTGTGCCTCCAAGGCTTCTTCACTAAGAAGGACGAGTAAGATTTTATTATTTACCTTAGAAAAGTTAGCTAATAAAGGCTTTATGAATCCAAATGATCTAATTCACAACCTATCATGGGGATGGTACACAAGAGATGGCACAGGGATGATGTGGTATAAGGATATGCTTGGGCAAGCAGTACTTTGTTCAGTGGTTTTGTGCAGACTTCACAGCAACTAACAACAGAAACAAATGTCCCAGCAAAACAGAACTATGCAATCGCTTGAAAGAAATGCTTTATAATCATTATACAACCTAGAGTAAAATAAAGAGATTACTTTTTCCTTTATAAATAAACCATTCTTCAAGAAAAACAATCCTGTCCTACAAGGGTCACTTTGGGCCATAACTGATGTAATGACATGGGGTATTATTTAGCTCAACCAAAGTACACCAGACCCAGACCATGGCTTTTTTGTCATCGCGTGTTGTGTGCCATCAGGATGACTCAGAGTGGCTCCTTGGACAATAGATCTAAACTCTCCCTATCCTGAGTCAGTCCCACCATCTCTCTGACACACTTGACCTCATTCCCACAATCACTGTGCCAATCATCTTTATCTGAGGTTTTCCTTTCCTGCATTGTCCCTCCACCCTTCCAAGAATGATGCCCTTCTCCATGGACTGGCCTCTTCTGGCAGCATGCCAAAAGTTTGTGAGACAGAATTTAAAAATGCTTGCCTTCAAGGAGTACCTGGTTTCACCGTCTCCAGGACAGACTTGTTTGTTCTCTTGTTAGTCCATGATACGTTCAATACTCTTGCCCAGCACCACAGTTTAAAGGCATTGATTCTTCTGTCTTCCTCAATTATTGTCCAGCTCTCGGGTGCATAGCAAGCAATGAGAAGATCATGGTCTTGATCAGGCACACCTTAGTCTTTAGGCTACCATCATTGCTCTTTAGCGCTTTATATATGTGACCCTGTAGGACAGAGCTGAACTTCCCAGTGGGGTTTTCTGAGCCTGTAAATCTTTACCAAACTATACTCCCACATCTTTTTTCCTTTGGGACAGTTAATGGGTTCAAACACTTAACCTTTTGGTTTAGTAGCTGATTTTTTAAATTTTTTATTTTGTATTGGTTTACTTACAAAGGGAAAAAAAAGGAAAGAAAAGCAATCCTGGTCAAAATAGCTTTTTATGTTTCATCCATGAAGTATTCTTCAATTTTCTGGGTTATGGGGTGTTTTGTTGGTCATTTTATATTTTTTATGCATCTATTATCTACTGTTGTACTAATAACAGTCATTGATTTTTTTCACTGCAGGAAAGGTACAAGCAACCTAAGCTGATTTCTGTGCTTATTTACTTATTTTTAGGGAAAAATAAAACTCATCTGGCCTAAAAACATATCTGTGGAGGATGTTTTTGATAAAAAATCTATATACAACATGACTACAGTTATGAGATATTTAATAACCAATGCAGAAATAGAGTGGAGGGTCAGACATAGACATTTAAGCAATAAATATTTAAAAATGAGAAAAAGAAATATCATTTAACAAAGGAAATTTTACAATATTGTCCTCTTTCTCCTCCTCTATATTACATTCGAAATCACAATTGTTGGAGTAGAGTTTGACTACCCTGCCCAATCCTGTCCAACTCGTTCTTACCAAGAACTAATTTTGATCCTCCATGTTCTCAATGACTAGTTTTTCCTTTACAAATCACACTATTTTTGTTTTCCATTGTAAACAATTACTACTTGACCATGGGATCCATGTTACACATTGGCTGCAAAAATGGAGTCAAGCTTGACAGTACTTAGGAGACTAGCACAGGACTGAACAATGACTTATTCTGTTTTGCTTAGGTCTCTGAGTCAGAACTGATTTGATGGCACCTGACAGCAATGCATCTCATTCAGAAAACTTCTAATATTAGTAATTTTCTAAGGTGTGAAAACACAAACCAAAGCATAGATACTTAAATAGATACTCCTGTGGTATCCACGGGGAATAGTTTGCAGCAACTCCTTTAGAAACTATGATGTGTGGATGTTCAAGTTCCTCACACAAAATGGTCAATTACATGAGCTGATTGTAATTAATGTTATAAAAATATCTATGGACTAGTGTATGAAAAGCTAATAATTAAAATACTAAAAAATATATATTAACTGCAGAAGAGCTTTTAGACATACTCCTATAGATCATCAATCATTTCTAGAATTCTTATAAAACATTATGCAATGTAAATAGCACTTCTAATCCATCAGAGTCATTATGGATTGGTTTGGCCACTTAATTATTAGTAAGAGACAAACACGTACTGGAGAGTCTGATCTGTGAAATGTGAAGAAGCTGCAGTGGCAGGTTATGCCTATTCATGCAACATTCATGTAGATTTATGGTAGTGCTCAGACATGGCAAATTGGAATTTTGCTTTTTGGAACTTTTTGGAATTTTACTTTTAAATATGTAGTTAATTGAGTTAACGGCTATAGAACCTGTGGGTACAAAGGGCAAACTATGTAGCCAAACAATGAGTGAAAAATAATGTGTGCATATTCCATGATGATTCAGAAGTAAACAGACATTTAAAGAAGCAGATTAAAAAATTATAAACACATACATATTTGAGTTTAAGACCAAGGTAAAAATAGGTAACATTTTATTAGAAAAATATTTCCCTTTTTTAAGGGGGAGTGCAAAAGTTTTTGCTTGATTTAATCATTTTAGCATCTTTAAACTCAATGATTTTTTTACATTTAAAAGTAATATTTTGTTGTATTTTTAGTGGGAATTCACACAGCAAATTAGATTACCAGTTGATATTGTTACACAAATTATTTAATGGCAATTAATTTTGTTTCCCCCCAATATTTCAGCATTCTTATTTTAAATTTGGCTCAGATGTATACTAACTTTATGTTAATTGTAAAACTAATGCAATGTTTGAGTACAAACCAAGAACCTTAAGTTCTGAGTTAACAGTTTATCTTGGTTTTAAAGAATCTGTAATATGAAATCCCCACTTATTCTTGTAATAGCTTTACCTTGGAGTCAAGTACTTTCCATTAAGTTTGGCTTTAGTGATGAAATAAAAGATAATGACTATGTTTTAGTCAAAAAGTCATCAGTGTGATTAATCTTTATTAAAGCATAGACTGTAGTGTCAAGTAATAAAGCAGTTAGAAGTCGCAAATTTGAAAATGTAAGCATTTAATTTCTGTTCCCTTGTAACAGAAGCTCTGGTGGCCTAGAGGTACGAAGCTACAATCCAGATAGCAAACAGTTCAAATCCACCAGCTCCTCTATGGGAGACAGATGTGTAATCTCATCAAGACTAGATCATGGGTGTTTTTTTTTTCAATAAAATTTGGACAATATTCCAATTTTAAAGGGCTTTTAGGAAGAATCCTTAGTTCATTTTATATATATATATAATCTTTTTTGACACTGTGCTATGAACAACGAGTGCATCTTGAGTCTATGACAATAATGCAGTGCTGTTCACGTTTACCTTAGTTGGAGTTCTATAACTTTCCTAGGGCTGAGAGTGAGTGATCCAGAAGAAAAAAAGAAATTTAAAGCAAAGTATTCATTTTGGATACATTTCTTTTCAAGTGTATCATGTGGTGAGCAATTTATGCAGTTTAATGCTATCAGAAACATTTGTGGATTAAATAATTTCATGTCTTATGTGACTTTTTTGTGTTTATTTTCTTTAGATAAGAAATGTTGAAACAAATCAATGTTTAGACAACATGGGCCGCAAAGAAAATGAAAAAGTGGGTATATTCAACTGTCATGGTATGGGAGGAAATCAGGTAATGTCCCTTTTTATTAGTGTCATATTTTTTGAAAAAAAATATTATTCTCAAAACAGTAACAAAAAATTTAATAAAAGGAACACATTTCAGTTAGCTGACATTTAATGAATGAGATATACAAATATTTTCAACCATCTCAATATATCATAGAATTATAACAAAAGTTGATTGCATATTATTGTTTTTATAATGGAAATATGGTGTCATTGTTGTTATGTGTATTTGGGAAAAGTCAGCTTATATCTGACCCTCCAGCAGGTTTGCAAAGACTCTAATTACAAAAAACGAGATTCTTCATCTTTCTCCCACTGGGGTCCAAACTACTAGTCTTTAATTTGGCAACTCCTTACCCATTTGGCCATGAGAGATTGTGAGTGTACCAATGAGGGAGTTTTTCTTTTGCTTTTCAAGGAGAGGAGCAAACGGGGTGGGGGGGGAGGAGTTTGTGCGGGGAGAAGGGTGCAACAATGAATGAATGGAATTCCAAAATCTCTGTAGATGTTCATTGAAATGAAAAATAAACAAACTAAATTAATAAAAAAAATAATGATTACATAACAATATACTGTTGTTGTTGTTGTGTGCCATGGAGTCATGAACGACTCATAGCTGAACTTCCAGCAGATTTTCAGAGACAGTAAATAGCATAGGAGTTAATTGTTGTTTTTTTTACATTTTAAAAATATTTGTCACTGGTTTTCATATAATAATTCCTTCACATTATATTCCATTCATATACATTGTGTTCTATACAATCTTTCATATAGATTACGTTTCATACAGTCATTCATATGCATTCTTTTTAAAAGTTTTTTTAAAAAAATACTTATACTAGTTTACTTACAAAGTTCAAAAAGTTCATATACATTGTTTTTCATACACTAGATCTTTCCCCTTTCCTTTACCCACATCTCCTTCCACCCATCAAATTAGCATAATGCTCTCTAGTCCCTCCCTAAAAAGGTAGTAAAAAAAAGAAAAGAAAGAAAATGTATTTTATATTATTTTTCTTTTTAAACTTTTTTTTTAACTACCTATGTGGGAGCATTATGCTAAGTGAACTAACTCAGTCCCATATGGACGAATATTGTATAAGACCATTATTGTAGAACGAGTATGAGGATCCAAGGGGAGAAGGGCGAAAGTACAGGGCTGAGGATAGGCATGGGGGCAGGTGATCATCATAGGGTCACACAGTTTGAGGTGGAGGGAAGGGGGAGGTAAAGGAAATGGGAAAGATCCAGATTGAAAAACAAAGTAAACGAGCTTTGTAAATAAACCAGTATGAAATTAAAATTAATTTTCTACCTTTATCCCATGGAGCAACTGGTGGAACCAAACTGTGCCTTTGTGTTGACAGTGCAGCTCTTTACCACTAGGCTACCACTCTCTTATCTATTTAAGAGAGAGATATCATATAGATATAGATAGATATAGATTATATAGAGATGATATAGACATAGATATAGATTAGATCAGATTAGATATATATAGATATATAGATGATAGATAGATAGATAGATGATATGTAGGTATACACATATACAGATGTACACATATATACATATAATAAATGTAAGGATTATAATATAAAATAATACTCCAACAATTGTGATTCCCCTCCCCCAAAGGATGTAGTTCTAAACTTCTTTTGAAAATTTCATGTTTCGTAGCCTCTAGAGATTCTGAAGAGCAATAAAACTTTGAATGTATGTTGTTGTTGGTATATGCTGTGGAGTCATCCATGATTCATAAGGACACTATTGAACAATAGCTATGAACCCTACCCAATCCTGAGACAATCTCACAGTCTCAATCTCCTACACATCTGTCCCTATTACCACAATCATTGTGTCAATCCATCTCATCTAGTGTCTTCCTCTGCTATGCTGAATCAACAGCATTCCAAGCATGACATCTTTCCCAAAACTGGGTCCTCCTGGTAACATGCCAAATGTATGAGAGATGGAGCCTCAAAATCCTTGCCTCTAGAGGCTTGATTTTACCTTCTCCAGGAAGACTTGTTTGTTCTCTTGGCACTCCGTGGTATGACCTGGGTCTGGTGCACAGACTTTATACACAGTTAGGGTACTGAGAATGGGTTTTATCAGGGAAATAAGATGGAAAGTAGAGGAGGTAAAGAATATCTCCCAATGAAAATCCAGGCTTTAGCCCAGTAGTCTCAAGGCATAATTCTTCAATTAGTCAAAGCTCTAGTTTCAGTTCTGCAACACAAATTCAAGAAGACTTTGGTTTCCTTAATCATCCAGGAAGGTTTGCCTCACAGCAGTTATAAGTCAGCTTCTCAATTATCTCTCAAGAACAGAAAAATCTTTAACTGTGGCCTTTATCTCAGGGCTCCTCTAGTTTTGCCTTACCACAGTTTCTCCACAATGTCACGGTATTTCTACCACCATCACCAGGTCTCAATACCAGGGTCTCACTCTTACCAGAGTTTTGTTCCAGTTTCCCTCAAGTTTTGCTGTGTGAGAAACATTCTCTCTTATCTTAGTCCCGCCGTTGTTGATTTGCAAGACCATCTGTTTGCAGTTAAGGTAGCTGGAGACCATAGGGTGCTAGGATAATTTTAAAAAAAAAACAAAACAACCAAACAAACCCCACCAAAACTGCCAACTTGAGGCTAATAGTGCACATGCATATCCAAATTCACTCACAGTGGGTTAACTGTACTATTTCACTTTAAAACTTATACTTTTCAAAAGTAAATAATTTAGTTTTTATTCAATTAGATACTGGCTTAGAAACTCTGGTGGAATAGTGAGTAAGAAACTGTACTTTCAGTACAAAGACATGCATTAGGTGCACACATCCTCATGATACTCCTCCAAGACAGATTTGTTTTTTGGACAGTCCATGAGATATACTTTCAATTCTGTCAGCACCACAAATAAAGGCCATCGATTCTTCTTTTATCCTCATTAATTGTTTAACTTTCAGATATATATGAAGCAATTGAAATATTTGTATTTAGGTGTCTTTATTCTGGTCTTTTTGTAGTCTTGACACTTCACTCAAAGCCCCAACAGGCCTTCATTCCTACACTATCAAGTTTGGGTGCCTCTCATTCTGGAATTCTTTGATGGTAACTCCATGTTTGAACAAAATTGGTTAAGATCTGACTCTTTGAGTCTTTGGAAGCTGTTGCCAGCCTTGAGATCTGGGAGGCTGTAACCCTACTACTTTTTATGCTTCTTTCAACAAGTTTCCTGATCTCTCAGCTGGCCCAGGAACAGTCTTTTTCTTTTCTTTAAAGGACAGTATAGATCTTTGAGCTTGTTCCTTGCCTGTAGAATTTAAAGAGATATACTGCTTTCTTTCTCTTTGTTTGTTTCCCATGTCTTTCAGTCTAAGCAAATAAGTTTTCTGCTTGCATAGTTGGTTAAATTTATCAGTCTTATCATAGACTCTCTACAAAAGATTGTACAGACATGTGTGCTGAACATTCTAGGCAACTTGTCTTTAGTTTCTACAAGAGAATTTTCCAAATCTTTCTCTTTTTATTTTGCATAGTTCCCTTTATTTCCTGTATCTTCCTGCATTTTACTATGTGTAACATAGTAACATGCTTAAAAATATCAAGTTCAAGTTCATGATTGACGAGTCCTACTTTCCATAATATACATAATATACATAATAATCACACAGGTTCTTTTTCATGGCATAAAAGACTTATTCTATTCTATTCTCTAATATCTTATTCATTTTAAATCTATACCAGCTGCATATTTAATAGCCACATCCTTAACAACATTTTAGGGAATTTTGGTGGCCTAGTGGTAAGTAGCTGTGCTGCAACCCCAAAGGCACATGGTTCAAATCTACCAACTATTCCATGAGGGAAAGATGGGCAGTCATCTCCCATGTGATTTACTGCCTCTGAAAACCTGCTGGAGGGTCAGTAATTATCCTGTAATATACAACAATAACAATATTGTTTACTGATCCCATATGTATTTTCTAAAACAGAGAGCTCTCTAATCTCCTTTTAGGTACTCACCAGATTATCTTGCTTTACTTACCTAGGTCTACTAACATCTCTTCAAGGCAGGCTCAGATTTTATTATTTACTCAAAAACTCAAATTCACTGCTGTCAAGGTGGTTCCAACTCATAGTAACCTCCTCTCAAGTTTCTAAGGCTGTAAATCCTAATTGTCAGAACTGCCATGTTTCTTTCCACAGAGCAGCTGGTGGTTTGACCTTTAGGCTAACAGTATAACATGTATCACATACTTTGACACTCTTTCAGCCTCTACTCATGGCTCAACTTAAAAGCACTCTGACATTTTAGATGCCTTTCAGAGGAACCTCATTCTTTGAAAGTCTCATGTTGGCTTTTAAATAAATATCATAAAGGAAGCTCTGGTAGCCTCATGGATTGGGAATTACCTGGTTCAAATTTGCCACTGGCTCTGTGAGAAAAAATTAGCAGTCTCTTTTGCAATTTAAAGCCTCTGAAAATCCACTGGTGGGTCAACTATGAGTTAGTACCACCTGATGGCTATACGTCTTTTGGGTTTTGTTTTATGAATGGTAATTTATTCATTCACAGTTGAAGAGATTAGATATCTAAATTCATGTTGCTAGCTCTGCAGGAAGGCTTCTTCTCTCTGTGCCTGAAGGAAACTTCTTGTGTCTTTTCCTTGTTCCTAGGTGATTTTTATATTGCTTGGCATCTCACTTTCCCCATCTCTGCTTGCCAATTTGCTTGCTTTAATCTCTTTTGTAGTTCAAAAGAAATTAACTCTAGGCATGAATCCACTCATTAACATATATTGCACCTACTCAAGTATAAAAGTCAAAATTTTATATTACTTTTGCATAAAATACATTTATACTTGGACATAGATGATATTAATCTAGTATTAATAAAATAATCATTTTACTTTGGTATTAATATCATTATAAAGATTTTTTTATGCATTTGATAAGACATGTTTCTCTCTTTGATAATGAATGTTTCTTTTTTTTTTCTTTT